CAGGGTAACCCGCATGGCGTCCATTTTGCTCTCCATGTACGCCTGCATGGACAGGACGCTCACCTTAAGAATCTTTCCTGTAGAGTTAAGGGCCGCGTCATATAAGCCCTCTAGTACAGCTCTCTAGTCTGGCTCTTCTCTCTCTAATTTCTTTTTCTTTCTTAGTAGCATGCTTGAGTTCCTCTTCTAGCCTTAGGCGGATCTTCTCTACCTCTTGGAGCTCCATCTGCTCCCTTATAAAATGAGGCCACGGGCTGGACTGCACACCCGCCAACTGGATAGCGTCGACCCCTTTCGTATTGAAAAACTAACTGCGAACAGGTCCAGTTGGGCGACACACCCAGACCAGAGGTTGCTGCAGATGTTGCTGAAGCGGTAGCCATTGCTACCTCCCTAGCTGCTGCCAACGCTCTTGCTTCGGCCACTGCTGCTTCCCTTGCAGCCTCAAGACTACAGGCCCTTGCTTCGGCCCTTAGTCTTCTCTCTTCTCCCAGTTGTAGGACCTGGAACACGTTGCTGCAGATGTTGCTGAAGCGGTAGCCATTGCTACCTCGCTAGCTGCTGCCAACACTCTTGCTTCGGCCGCTGCTGCTTCCCTTGCAGCCTCAAGACTACGGGCCCTTCCTTCGGCCCTTAGTCTTCTCTCTTCTCCCGGTTGTAGGACCTGGAACACTCTAGGGATTCTAAGCGATGATAGCCTTGTTAACCTCCTCTCGTCAGTTGTACCTCCATCCCCGGCTGATCCACTCCTCGGCCAAGCAGACGTTGTCTGCACTAGAGTCCTCTTTGGGACCTACCGCAGCATACGTTTGACTGGTTCCAAAAATAAACAATATAATTTAATGTCCGGCAAGTTACCTAGACTACCGGTCAAGCTGCATCAACAGCACCTACACAAACTGTACACATAGTCTAACTCTATTCTGATTAGTTCTGCACAGAAGCTTCGAAAAGAACTGACTATGGTAGATTACAATCCTACTCTAGGCTGTCTGTTAGGTGTCAGCAGTCTGTCAACCAACTAATCAAAAATACAAATAAGACTAATGTGAGCAAACGTATGCACAGCGGAAACGGTAGCGATGTACAGTGGAGTTCACAATTGGAATCCCCTTCCCCTGTATCCAACGTACCTGTGAGCATCATCAAGCTGCGGTGTCTAAGGTGTGCAATCACGGCCCACTCTTGTGCCCAAGGTGTATGCTTATGACCAGCCTGCCCTTTGTTTACCCTCGCGTGCAACGAGCCTTACGTCCGAATGATCTGGCTGATCAAGAGGCAATTTAAGGACAGCCCCCCAAAGTCCTCAGGAATTATTTAACGTCGCAATCAGGACGACAATCACAGCCAATAGACAGATCGGACCCCAACCAGAAATGTTTATAGACGGTGTTACATGCTCAGATGAGCGATGTACATCATAACCGAGGATCCGCAATGTGATAAAAAGGACAGAATGGACAATGCAGTGCTAGTAGAATCTCAACAAGCAATGTGCATTCTCATACATACAAAATGGTGCTGAATAGCGCAGTGGAAGATTTAGATACAAGTCCTGACCTGACCGGGACTGACCTCATTCACGTAGCAAAAGATAGCGAAGCAGAATGCTAGAATGCTAATCACTAGCCCAATCAATGTTTGAATGCAGACCAAACATACATCATATCCATCACCAAGTGTGAAGGAGCCTGGCGCTGTACACAGGAAGAAAGCACCAGGTCCAGACATACACAGACGAAGAGGAGGGAATCAGACGAAAGGAGGGAGAGAGATGGGAATGTCGTCAACACCAAGTCTTTGTCACAAGTCCCAAATAATCCCTCGTTGTAATGTCTGAAGTCCAAAAGTAGAGTCTGGATCCGATGTCACCAAGCTCTGTCTCTCTTCTCTCGTAGTCTGCAGATGCAGTGAAGTCAGATGATGAGAGGGGGAGAAGGAGATGGTGGACTGAGAAGAGGAGGAAGAACTCTCTCTCTCTCTGTTACGAGCCAGATACTAACCTGTGATGTTGGCGCTGTGCTGCAGGTACCTCGAAGACGAAGCTGGAGCAACGGCGCTGCAGGTGAGTACCCAAGGCCTCCGCCCAATCTCTCGCTCTCTCTAGTGCTATCCTAGCTATGGCGCCCAGCACTGGATACTACAGCTACCTACTGCTCCCAGCGCTGAAGACTAAAGGCTAACGCTACTAGTACTCCCTGCAGCGCTCCCTCCAGAGTGCTGCTCCCGAATACTGAAGACTACAACTGCCTCTTGCCTACCTCGTGAAGTGCATGGGAAGTTCCTATGTACTACCTCGGCCTGACTCCTGACTGCCTGAAGGGCGAGCCAGGCCGAGGAGGCTGCTCTTGCCAATGCCGAAGTGTGCCAAGGGCTGGCGCTGCAGCAGCTGCTTGAGGCTGGCGTGGGAACAAGCTAAGAATAGCCTGTTCCCGAAACCCTGGTTCGATGCCTGAGTTTCAGGGCCGGTCGTTCTGATGAACGACCGAAAATGGCCCTTCGTTTCAGGCTAAAAAGGCTGTTGCCATTTTTAGTCTGAAACGACACAGGGAATGTAGGCCCTGGAATTCAGGCTTTCGGGCTGAACCGACATGGGGCCTGTAAGCCCTGGATTTCAGGCTTTCAGCCTGAAGAACGCAGGGCCTGGAAAATGGCCCGCGTGTGCAGGCGCAGCATGTAACAACGGTCTGGAAGCGTCTGTTCCAGAAACATTTTTAGACGGTCTGGGAGTGTCTGCATTAGGACTGGTCAGTCCGCACACCCCTTCTGTCAGCGCAGCAAAGAGCTTCAATGGACAAAGCAGCAAAGCCTGCGTGTATTACTCCCATGGGTTGGCATGGTGACCGTGACCCGTGCTTTGACGAGGCACCGCCCTCTCCTGCCAGATGTGCCACCAGGAAGAATGTCATCTCTCAAGGTAGAGTGCACACGACTCCTCACCAAAGAGAGGACACTCAAGTTGGACTCACTTCCTCACAGTAAGAAGAGATTGAGAGGGTAGATAAACAACATACCTGGAGATAGCTGCCCCCAACCACATATTTCTCACCAATTGGGCCGACGTGCATTTCAATGACCGGTCAATAGCCTCGGTACCACCCACAATGCAATGCAGTGCCACCTCAGCCAAAATGCCACGTCAGCATACTCTCATCATCATGCATACACCTGCTGTCGCCACAGCCTTCCAGTGGTCGGCCTCTCCACCTAGGCCCCGTTAATACATACCAGCGCCAAAGTAACCTTACTGCACATGAAGCATCGCCAGCGCACCAAGTAAAAATGTCGCCGGTGCCAGGTAAGCGGCGATCACGAACCAGCTCTGATACCAAATTGCAAGGAATATGACTGTGATCGATATACAGAAAACCAAGTTGCGAAATCACACGGATGTCCAGGTAGTCACGTCCAAGCAGAGAGTACAAAATGCACCGAGAAACCACCCATGTAGAGCAATAAAATGAAGTAATGAGGCAATGTTCAAGCCCATAGGCCACACCAACACAGTATCCAAAGTCGCTCCTCTCTATCTGGCGCCCAGCACCCAGCCTACTCTACCCGACTATCCTACCTACAGCTGGTTCACGCAACAGGCTCACTTCGACTCTCGAAGACCAATGTACATGACTGTCAACACCATAGCTGACCTCTCTTCATGCACCAGGTACGTATCTCGTCACCCTCAATCAGACCTTGATTACCCACACTCGCCTCCTTCCCTGAAGACCACCTTATCGCCCTCCTACCCCCTGGCGGCCAGCAGCCCGGCTATGGCTGACTGCGCCCCGCTGCCCAGCAGCGCCCCACCTCACCACTACGCGGCCCGTCAGCACCTTTGGCAGCAGCGGAGCATCAAGCGATAGCGCAGCAGCACTTCCGCATTGCCTGCACTGGCCAGCATCCTGGCCTAGGCTGCCTCACTTCTTTTATCGAAGTGGCAACCTCAGCCCCTGCGCGCAGGCCCGAGACTACAGTTGAGGGCCTGGGCCCTTTTCAGTTGGGCACGGCCTGAGTCTCCGGACTTGGCTGTTTGCTCCATCTGTGCAGGGCTCCCAGGTAGGTGCATCAGCAGTAATGCTTTTCCAAAGGCCGATGGCCTGCTTCCCGATGTATCGGCCCTGCTTTGTGTGTATGTGCCCAGGCACAACTGTCAAGGCCTGGGCCAACTGTATGACGCAGCTTAGTGAGGCTCACGCGTCTACCCAACCAACTGGCGTGCTGCGAAAGCCTGAATAGCCACATATGGAAATGTCGAATTTTGGCCTTTGACGAATATTCAGGCCCGCCTTCACTTAGGGCGGGCACTCGGCTTGCTGGGGCCTTAGCTCAGAACAGATGATGTCTGATAGGGCCCCTTCAGGACTCGTTCCTCACAGACACAACACACACACAGGTAATCTCCTGCCATTCACAAAGCATCCTTGTTATCTCTTATGATTTTGTCTTATCCCCCTTCGATTACTTATTCAGCTTGATTGCTCTCCCATCAACAATTACCACCCATGCACGTACAACCGACTATCAAATTTGGAATTCAAACATTGAACCAGCATCATACACAGCTGTCACAATATCTCATTCTCTGTCGTTCACCCATGGTATGAAGTACTATGAACCCGGGTCCGTACCCGCGTCCAGGTACGGCTGAGTTTCGATTCCGAAAAGAGAGGAGGAAAACAAAAAAACACACAAAAAAAAGCATTACATCCAGACACAACTAAGGGATCCCACCCCTTTCGCCTATACAAACCCATGCACGTACGAATTTCGAGATCGAACATCACAAAGCTCACAGACTCCAGAGTTCAAACCCTAAACAGTATGATTGCTCTTATTGCTGTTATTAACTTAGTACTAGTTCTTAGTACTTTTAGTCAGTTTTTACTACTACTACTATTTTTCAGTTTTTTTTTCATGTTTTTTGCTATAAACATTACTATGCATGCCAAGTTGCCAACACAGCAGAGGGGTTCCTACATTTCGTTATGCCATTCACGTACCGTGCGTGCACGCTCTCTGAGCTTCGCAGAGAGTGGGAGGAAGTATTCTGCGAAGAATTGCAACCGAGCACCAACCACATGCTGCTTCATGATAGGCAATAGCCAAGCACGCGAATGCGATAAATCTTGGTTATCCATCTCTAAGGGCAGAATCTTGAGAAACTGTTCCGGTCCCATGGCGGCGACGGCGGTTCCGATGGCTGTGTGCAACTAAGAGCCAAAAAAAAAAAAAAAAAAAAGCCAGGAAGAAAACAATAGAATAAGAAAATGCTCGATGGCCTGAACTGTGCACAGCAAAAGGAACTGCCACCCACCCACCACCACCAAAAAAAAAGACAAAAAAAAACACTCAGCCCCCTACCACCAAACAAAAAAGGAAAAAAAAAGAGCACCCAGGTGAATCAAGCCAGCGCGCTTGAAAAGCCTGAAATTTTTCAGCAAAACCACCAAATAAAAGACAAAATCAATCACATCAATGGGCTGCCTCACGGGCAGAACCCATGGGTGCAATGTCTGCGCTCGAAACGCACCAACCTAGTCAGAAAGCTGGCCAGGTTCAGGCCGCCTTATCGCGAACATAGCAACGGCCGTGAAAGGCACCTGCACCAATAGCAGAGTTGTAACTATACGACACAGAAAATGTGACGAGTACCATCGGCAGACAAACGACAAAGGATGACAGTCTACTTCTTTTCCTTTGTGGTCTCGGCTTTTGTAATTCTGCTTTCAACTCAGCTCACCCATGCTTGATCTTCTATGAGATTTTGCATTCCAGGAATTCACTGTTCTGAGTGTTCTCATTGAATGGTTCCTTGCACCTGGCCTTCACTAACTAATATGGTAGTATTGGATTCGAACTGCCAGCTGCCAAGTTAGAGCTCTAAACCT